GAAAGAGAGAGATAAGGTGAAGAGAGAGATAAGGTGAAGAGAGAGATAAGGTGAAGAAACCCCTAGGACAAACTTTTGAGTGGAGATTGAACAGCTGCTGAAATGGATGGTTGAGCAAAATATCCACCAAGAGCAACAGCAGCAACTTCTGCAGCAGATGGCCATGCAGCAGTAGCAGCTAGTTTGCAAATTTGCAGCCCAGCAACATCTGGTCCAGCAGGTGGCCTCCCTTTTGTGACTCACTGCTCCAGCAGAGCTGCCTAACCCTGCCCCTCTCCAGCTTGCCAAAATGGGGCCTCACGATCCCTAGGCTTTAAGGGTGTGTCCAGACTACAGGGGGGGTTCCGAAAAAAGTAACCTTTTTTCGAAAAAACTTCACCTGCGTCTAGACTGCATCCGCGTTCTTTCTAAAGTAAATCTTTCGAAAAAGACGTTATTGAATGCAAACTGCTTTTTCGAAAAAGAGTGTCTAGACTCTCTAAATCTGTTTGTAGGCTAGACACTGTCTTTTGAAAGAGGCTTGTAGTCTAGACCTACCCTTAGAGATGCTTGAATTGGTCTCAGGGCCACTGAGCTGCAGTTCTGGCCCCGCATTTAACTGGAGTAGTACAGACTGCATACTGCCCTTTGAAGTCCACCACTGCCCAGGAGCAATGATCTTCGACACCCTAGATATGTCAGAGGAAATATTCTGGCAGTGCTTCTGGCAGGGAGCGGTACCTCCCGGGGGTGTTACAGAATCAGCCTGACATTACGATAGAGGCCATACAGCTCCTGGAGACCTACCTAGCTACCAAGACTAGTTACCAAGACTGCCAAGAACTACCTAGCTGCCAAAATAATACCCCTTTCAGGGTTGGCTGGAACCAAAATCCTCATGTCTCTGATGGATGAAACTGCCCAAGAATTCGTGTTTCATAAGAGATGTTGGCATCTTTCCAATCTTACCAGAGCTCTGGAGAGCTTGAGCATTCCAAGTTCCCAGGGTTTCCCAAACCAGGAATCTTAGAACTGTTTACCTGCACTGCAGTTTGGGAGATCACTGCCACCTTCGAGGCCATCCAGGGCCCTTGCCTGGCCCAGAACTTGGGGGAGACCAATCATGCTCAGACTGTCCAGGTACCCCAAATGGTACTGTGATCAGGGCTGGTGTTTCATGTATGGCCATTCTGAGCACTGGTCCATACATGGAATGTAACTTTGGGACTTTGCAAGTATGAGCACACCCTGGGGCCCAGCAAAGCTAACCTTTCCGCTGTGGATAAATGGAAGAGAAGTGATGGGAGTAGTAGTTTCAGGCTGTGCCCAGACACTGGTACAAAGTACAGCGGTGTTTAACTGTGGCCCAACTCAGGGTACTGTCATGTTACTGTTCATGCATGGGGATGTGAAGGCCTACCCTCCACAAGGAAGTTTCTTTAACAGCAGGGAAATGCAAAGAGCCCCTGGTGGTTGGTCTGCCTCCAACCATGGCTTACCCCGGAATTGGAACTCTCTTGGGGCATTGTTGGTGGACATAGTGGGACTCCTCCATCCAGTGGTCCAGGACCCCTTCTTCTGGCCGGGTTGGAGGGGCAACCCTTAAGGAGGTGGGAGAAGTTGCTGATTCTGGAAAGGGATATCCCCATCCTCGATACCAGCTGAGGCCCACCAGGCTCTCTCCCAGTCAGGGGATCAACTCACCCCATTACTCGAAACAGATATCCTGATTCACTTTCTGACTTTGTGGAGGTGGAAGGGGGTGGTGCGCTGAGCCAGGCATATACAGGCAGTCCCCGGGTTATGTATAAGATAGGGACTGTAGGTTTGTTCTTAAGTTGAATTTGTATGTAAGTTGGAACTGGTACATATTTTGGGGGGGGGGGGGGAGGGGGGCGC